TCTTGGGGATACAAAATTTTATTATGAAAATAAAAATGGCAAGACGTGCTTTACCATTCATGGAAAATAGGAAGAAAAAAATTAACCAGACGACCGGTCTCGCCCTCACTCAACAGAGCTGAAATCGAGGGAAGAGTAAATATTGCAATATAAAATATAAAAACATGAGAAACATGTGATAAAATAAAAGTGGTAAGATCAGATGGAAATCATGTCAAGCCCTAACAGGCATTCCCTCTGTTTACAGAGGAAGGGCTACCTGGACCTGACATAGAAGGTTTTCAATACCTTTTTACCTGAAATTTGTGGCACAACTTGGTGTATAAAGTGCTCAGCAATGGCAGATCCGTATGTGTACCTGATATTGTCACCAGATTGGAACGTACCATTCCTAATTCTTCCGGGTACGTGCTTGTTAATGCGTGTGTCTAACCGTAAGGTAGTTCTGCCACTACATCCAAAACGGTATATTACATTATATGGTGGGGAGGCAGAACGTCCTTACGAGTAGACACCCAAGGAACCCTGGTAGAAAAAAACAACACGCAAATTGGCGGGAAAATAGCAATTTTTAATTGCTGAGTTGATTTGTTTGGCAAATTTACCACTTATTGAGTCCAACCAGGGCAAATACACAGGGCATTTAGGAGCCCTACTCGGCCTGGGTTTAGAGAAATTTAAGATTCTCTTTTCCATGAACGACTTGATAATATCTATCCATGAACGACTTGATAATATTTATCCATTATTAGTTAGGGTCTTAGTAATTGTTTTCAGCTCTTTACTTAGTTTGGGTACTGAGCAGATCATCAAAGCTCTGTGTAAGGGTATTAATAAGGTTTTCTTTGCGTTTGGTAGGACAAAATGCATCCCATCGAGTGTATAGTCCGGTAATAGTGGGTTTACGATAGATTGATGGAATGTAACCGGATGGTGTTTTGGTTACTAAAACATGCAAAAAAGATTTAGTGGAATTAGTTTCAATTTCTATGGTGTACTTTAATGCTGGATGCATACCATTAAGCAGTGAAAAGAAAATTTTTGCCTCTGCTATATTTTCTGTTATGGGGTTCACCCCTTTTTCATACAAGTGGACTCGACCAGTGTGTACTGGTACTTCTGCCGTTAAATACCCAGAGTCAAACAGAGTAGAGTGATTGAGATTGTGATTGAGTTGGAGGTAGAGTAATAGTGTGAGGTAACCGCTTGTAGAAGTCACAGTTACGAACACGTAGACTCTAAGGAAGTCCTACTTCGAGACTGGATTTACCAGACTGTAAATATATATTATTATTGCTACTAACCGCGTTTCTGGATTTACTAACCGTATTACCAATTGTATTATTTTGTAAATACATTTATTTGTTATATTTCATTCCTGCGTTTGTCATTCATTGGAGACCGTATTTCATCTCGGAATCCACATTTTCAAATAGACAAAAATTGTCATCAACATATCGATGGTACATTAGTGGTTTAGCAGTTTCAGAAAATAAACGATTTTCATAAAAACCAACAAAATATTCGCCAATGTAGGTCCCAGGATTGAACCCATAGACACCCCGTCGATCTGTCTGTACATTACATCATTACATTACATCAATCTACATCTTTCCCTTTTTTTCCCTTCAATTTATCTTATTCCATCTTTCTTTCTTTTCTTTTCTTCTCTTTTCTTTTCTTTTCCCCTTTAGGTTTCTCTCTTTTGTTCTTTTCTTTCTCTCTTTCTCTATCGCTTTCTTTTCTCTTTCTCTTTCTTTCCTTTTCCTTTTCACTTTATGTGTCTCTTTTATTTTAATTTTCTCTTTGTTTCTCTTTCTTTAGCTCTTCATCTTTCTCTCGTTTGCCTTTTTTTCTTTCTTTTCTCTTCTTTCACGTTCTTTTTCATTTTATCTTTTCTCTTTCTCTTTTCTTTTTATTTCTCTTTTTTGTCCTTTTCTTTCTTTCTTTCTTTCTTTCTTCTGTTCTATTCTTTGTTTCATCTTCTGATTCTTTCATTTTCTTTTTGTCTTTTCTCTTTTTCTATTCCTTTTTCTTTCTCTCACTTTTTCTTTCGTTTTCCTTTCTCTTTATTTCCCCCTTTTTTCCTTCTGTTTCCTTTTCTCGTCTTTCTTTCTCCTCTTATCTTTTTTCCTTTTCCTTTTCTTTTTCTTTTAGCCTTTCTCTTCCTTTCCTTTTATTTCTGCTTTGTCAGTTTTTAACCCTTTTTTTTTCCTTTCACTTTTTTTGTTTTGTTTATTGTATGTATTTAATGGGAATGATGCTGGTCCCATCTGTTACCCCTGATACCAAAGTCCCCCTCTCGTTCTCTGTACTTTTGACACTCCTTATGTCTGAGAAACTTCCTGAAACCTGACACCCTCCGCCGACTCATCTAAAACAAAACAAAAAAAAATAATGAAAAAGTCATAAGGTTTCGGTGCAGCTGGTTGTACGAACGAGGAAGGATGTATTTTTGCCAATGACACTTTTTCCAGCAGGCCTGCCTCTGGGCGGATGA